CATCGCATTAAAAGAATCCAACAAAGAAATCACCTTTGTCATAATGTATTCTTTTTGTTCAATGAAAAGTACTGACCGAAAGCTAAACTAAAGGAATTTAGTCAGCTTTTACAATGTGCTGGCTTACAGTAGGTGAAGTCCAGCCATGGCCTGGACTCGTCTCTTATTAACAATGAACAGTTTTACTGAGCACCAGGAGTACAGCTATCGATATGACTATCTATACTTTAACAGGAGCGATGCTGCTTTGTCCCACAGCAGCCACTTTGCTTCCCTCTCCCCTTTGCTGTCCATTCACAGAAGGCTTTGTATTTTGTGAATGGGTTAACATATACAAAACTCTCCCTAATTGGGCAAGTGAAGAAGAGGGGTGGGCAGAGTGGCTGTACATGACCCAATTTATAGCAATAGTAAAGATGTAAACTGTAAAAAAAAAAAAAAAGCGATAAGTCCATGAGTTGGCATATGCCTCACTGGATTTAACCCATAGAAAACTGGAACATTTTAAAATGTGACTAAATTCATAAATTTCAACTTTAAATTTAGGATTTAGAATGAACATTTTCAAAGTGAACCTTACTGCAGTTTAAACTCCCATATAATGTATTTGAACTGTTTGTTTACCTGCTTGCCTGGAGTTCAGCTTTAAGCCTTTATAAACTATTATTATATAATCTTACTTATGAAAAATATGTATATTTTCCTCTGATTTTGCTTTAATTTAAATCTGACTTTAGATGAAATTTAACAGTTGCTGCTCTGTCATATGAATGACATCATACACTGTCTTCTTGCTTCAGAGAATACATACAGAGTCAAATAACCAAGCCCCATAGTTACAGGGAATGTAGGCTAATGCACAACCCTTGTGTCATTCATAAGCCCTCTTAGGAATCAAGAGACAGGATGTTTGGGAGAAACAACTGACAGACTTTAGGTGACATCTGACTGTCAAGCTGGAGAGTCCGAATTGGGGAAAGTATATAAAGCTGTTAAAGTGGAACTTCATCTGAAAAAGGAAGTTCTGTAGTTCTGTTTTATCCCCCCCTCATGCGCGCACACTCACTTTTGGAGGTTTACTTTTTTTTCTTTCAGGAAGCGGGTACCTAGTTTTGACAGGTACCCGCTCCCACTTCTGCTTGGATCGCCTAGGCATTCTGGGTAGAAATTCACCCTCCTGTCCCATGTCTCTGATGGCAACCTCCTAGGGGACATGTCACAGGTACCAGGAGGCTGCAGGTCCAATTAGAAAGCGCTGCACGGCTTGCACATGCGGAGTGGGGAACTAACTGTGAAGCTGCAGAGTCACAGCTGGCTTCCCACAGTAAACAGCACAGGGGGCCTGAAGACCGATGAAGAACCGGCCAGGTGAGGACAACGGTAAATCCCTGGGCTTTTTATTTAAAGTCAGCTACTTTATTTGTATTTGAATTTTTTTTAAACAGACTAAAGATCTTCTTTAAGGTAGCAAACATTTTTAATACGTAAGCCTGCACAAATACCATAATTTAAGATTAAATGATTTGGTCTTTTTGTATATGGTAATTTTGTGTGGCTATCTATAAAGCTGAACTCTGGGCACAAAAACTTTCAATTAAATAAATTCCTTAAAGTGGTATGAAAAAAAAAAATGTACATGGTCCCCTTGCAGGTTGATGCCATAATGTGCTCGTATACACCATTCTCAAATGGATCCCTCCAGTGCTGACCTGTCACCACTCTCAATGCTTCCATCTTCACCCAGTTTTCTTTCCAGGTTCAAATTTTTCAGCTGCTTGAATCTGCAAGTCAATCTGACGCCACTCCACCACAGCACATAGCGGGTACCATAAATGGGGTCTGAGCTGCATATGTGCGGCTCAGACTGCATTATTGTTGACAGGCCAGGAGAGGCATTAATGACAGGAGAGACTTCTAGGGTCTTTTCTGTTACAAAAACCCTGCCTGCCAGCATTTTTTTTTTTTTTACATATGAGAGTTTAATACCACGTTAATTGTTACAAAGTATATAAATCCACTTTGTGTGCACCAAATGCCTTTGAAAACTCTGATATTACTTTGCAAAAGTAGCAGTGATCTTATCATTGTGTTGCACCTAGACTATGCAAAGCTGCAAGTGGGACCTGGTAGGTCCTCTTATTACAGGCTGCCTATAGAAAACTACAGGAGGTAATCCATACAAGAACAGTCGTATGGTGAGAGAGCAGCAGTGACTGGTCTTTGTTGCAGGAAACTCCTGTACCAAGAAAGTTTTACACTGGATCACAGTAGAGATCTGAAAGAAATACACAAAGCACACCACATAAAAAAAAACTAAAGTACTCATACCTCATGTAATTGGACAATATTTGCTTTTGTTGCAGTTTACCTTTAAGGTGACTAAGCATAGTGACATTGCAGTGCTTAACCACCAGTGTTGTATTAAATCTTCACTGGTCTGCCTTTTCTTACACCCTGGTATAGGAAAGTACCAGGGTGTGCCATGTCACTCTTTGCCTTCATAACATGCCATAGTATTTCATACACAAGCGAGGATGGGGCGAAGTTCAAAGATTACATTTCTCATGTGAACTTTTTAAGACAGTCCCTGTTCAATTCTGCTGTTATTTAGGCTGAGGGATTAATATGAACTGTTTTAGGTTTGCATGAGAGGTTTTGCTTTGGATTATGTCTGCTTTCTAATTAAACTTGTTTTGTCACCTGGAACCTCATCAAGATTATGATGTTGAAGCATTTATTCACATAACATATAAATGGATCATTAGTGAGTAATACATTGTACAGAGAAGACATATGGATTCTGTTCTCTTACTTTTACAAATGTTATGTCTCCTGCAATCTGTGACACCATCTAATGTATTAAGCATTAGACAAGAGCCTGGCTAATTAAACTCCAGCGTTCACATGTGACCTGACACGACAAACACATTCTCATTAATGTCATTGCTAATATTTTCTTTTAGGCTTTTGGAGTTGTACTCACATACATGTCATTTGCATCAGGGTTTGATGAACATTTGTGTGTTTTTCATATATACACCACCTGCCTGGAGTTTGCATGTTCTCCCTGTGCCTGCATGGGTTTTCCCCCGGGTACTCCGGTTTCATCCCACACTCCAAAGACATGCTGGTAGGTTAATTGGCTCCTGTCTAAATTGGCCGTAGTATGTATGAATGTGAGTTAGAGACCTTAGATTGTACGCTCCTTGAGGGTTAGGGACTGATGTGAATGTACAATATATATGTATATGTATATATATATATATATATATATACACATGTAAAGCGTAAATTGATGGCGCTATATAAGTACCTGTAATAAATAAATATATAGGTGACTATATCATTTATGGTCTATAGCAGTGGTCTCCAAGCTGTGGCCCATGTGTCAAATGCAGCCACTTGCTTGCATTTATCCAGCCCTTGGGGCACTATTCCTCTCACTGACACAAGGTACCATTTCTTCCACTGACACAAACGACGAGACACCATTCCTTTTGCTGACACCAACAATGAACACTATTCCTATCACTGACACTAATGATGAGAAACTTTTCCTTCTCCTACTGATCACAGGATTTTTTTTTGCTCCCACTGAACACCCAGCTTGAGGCATTTTCTACTCCCACTAACCACAGTGAAGCCCACCTAAAATCTGAAGGAGATAAACTGGCCTTTTGTTTAAAAGTTTGGAAGCCCCTGGTCTGTAGTATTTGAGCATGTTTTTCAGAATTTTACTTCATCTCCTCTACAGTACTACAGCTTTTGACTGCACTTTGTTATGTACAGTATACCTGAGGCAAGCAAGCATCCATAAATAAGGCTTCTCATCTGCAGACTTAGCCCTTACTGACCCCCTCTAGCTGCAGACACTGCAGTGAAATCCCCCATAAAGTTCACAACAAAAGCACTAAAATTGTTTAAGTTGTTCTTTCAGCAGCAAAGGTCCCTTCCTTCTTCCAGCAGTGACTTGTTAGCCTTCCAGCCATATAACCCCTAGTTTAAAGGATAAGTTCACCTTTAGTAACATGTTACATTACCCATATATAGGGTGTAACGTGTTACTAACCGAGCAGCCCCCTCACGTTATTCATTCACAGAGTTCTGTGAATGAGAGAACTACAGCTACCATCCGTTCTTGTGGCTAACAGCTTGTAGTTCTCTGTGAACTACCAGGGCACTGATGAGTGCTCTAGGTAGTTGATTGATCCTTCCTGTCATACAGTAACTGCCTCCCCATACGAAGTACAGGCAGACACTTACACGGACAGTTGTGCAGGATCCTGAGACTCCACCCGCGATCTGCTGATTGCGGGTGCAATGCCTTACAGGGTCCTAATAAAAAAAGAGATGATAAGTGCATGTTTTTTTACCTTCAAAAAAGATGTGTTTGTTGTTGTTTTTTTTTTCTTAAAAAAGGTGAACCTAGCCTTTAAATGTAGAAAAGGTGATCTGGGAGGGGAAGCAGGTGGAGCCGAGCAGCTGAGGGAACAACTTAAATTACTTTAGTGCCTCTGCTGTGACATTTGAGAATTAATTGCTTAACAGTGATTACACTACAGAGGTTGGAGAGCACTTGTAAAGTTCATTTACTGTTTGTTAAAAAATATGTACTTGGATGTCAATAGCCTAGGCAAAGTGTCTCGCTTGACAAATATATGGGGAAGAGTTAGAAACTCTGTCCGGTGTCACTGTTGGAAAGATTTTTCATAACTTACCTTCTAGGGGATCACCATTGTTGGGATAGGAAGTGAGGGGAAATATCCCCAACAGGGGACACAGACAGGAATCAGAAAGGGTTTATCCCTTCCTCACTACAATGTGATTGTAAGTGATAAAGTTTGTTATGGGCAACAGTACTTTTTATGTTCCTGGGTGAGAAACAAGGTGGTAAAATTGATTAATCACCTCCTGCCCGCCATATAGTAATATGACGGACGCAAGGTGGTTCTCTCGTTCTGGGAGGACGTCATATGACGTCCTCCCATTCTCACCGCGCATGTGTGGCTCCCACAGACACAGCGGATCACTGATCCACGGAAAGAGCCGAAGACGTTGGCACGGTCATGTGATCAGCTGTGTCCAATCACAGCTGATCACATGTAAACAGGGAAATGCCGGTTATTGGCATTTCTCTCCCCACGAGCTGTCACACTGACAGCTTGTGAGGAGAGGAGAGCCGGTAACCGGCATTCTTCAGAGGGGACATGTACACAGATCATCAGAGCACTGATGATCTGTGTAGCCCCAACAGCGCCACCTGTCAGTGTCCATCAGTGCCAGCTCTCAGTGCTCATCCATGCCACCTATCAGTGCCACATTTCAGTGCCCGTGTCACATCAGTGCCACATATCAGTGCCCATCTGAGCTGCCTTTCAGTGCCACCCATCAGTGCCAGTCAGTGCCACCTATCAATGTCAGTCAGTGCCACCTATCAGTGCTGCCAATCAGTGCCGCCTATCAGTGCCAGTCAATGCCGCCTATCAGTGTGCATCAGTGCCCGCCAGTGCTGCCTATCAGTGCCGCCTATCATTGCCAGTCAGTGCCGCCTATCATTGCCAGTCAGTGCCGCCTATCATTGCCAGTCAGTGTCGCCTGTCAGTGCCGCCTATCAGTGCCATATATGAGTGCTGCCTTTCAGTGCCCATCAGTGATGCCTGTCAATGCCCATCAGTGGCACCTACCAGTGCCACCTCATCAGTGCCCATCAGTGTCACCTATCAGTGTCCATCAGTGCAGCCTATGAGTGCCCATCACTGCAGCCTCATTAGCGCACATCAGTGAAGGAGAAAAAATCACTTATTTACAAAATTTTATAACAAAAACTAAGAAAAAACGTTTTTCTTTTCAAAATTTTCAGTGGTTTTTGGTTTGTTTAAGAAAAAATAAAAAAAACCCAGAGGTGATTAAATACCACGAAAATAAAGCTCTATCTGTCACAAAAAAATGATAAAAATGTCATATGGGTACAGTGTAGCATGACCGCGCAATTGTCATTCAAAGTGCAAGAGCTCTGAAAGCTGGAAATTGGCCTGGGCAGGAAGGGGGTATAAGTGCCCTGTAGGCTAGTGGTTAAAAAAACAAAACATACAAAGTTTATAACCCTTCCCTTTGTCCAAAATGTACATGTTATTTGAACTTGGTGAACTTCTGCTGAAAGATTTCTTGCATGCGCTAATAACAGACACAAATAAAAAAATTATACTCTAGAGCAATAGTCAATACCCCTTCAGTCAATGCAGTCCTGATCAGTCTCCTCAATTGTTTCAAGGATTTAGGAGACTGGATTTCTATTTGTGCCTTTAAAGCTAATGGTGATAGAGAATGGTGTATGGATATCCAGAAGAAATAGTAGTGATAGGAAATGTTTCAGCAGTGGTGTAGAAAGGAGGACATTTGATGAGATTTCAATAATATTTTTTATAGGATATAAATACATTTATCATGGTGATATGTCCTTGCATTTAACTGTAAACGTTTTTTGCTCACAGCTTAGAAGTAGAATGTTCTAAAAGTTCTAGTATATTGTTCGCCACAACAGGTAGTGGTGACGAGTAAATATTTAGCACAGGACATTGCAAGTGTCTGTTAGTTTGTAGTAGTATGCCAGGGCACTCATCATATTTTTCCAAACTCGGTGTACAACCCTATGCCTGATCTAATAGCCGTCAGCCTTATAGTCACTGTAGCCTTGTGGTCATCCTGTGCAAGTTTTACCCCACTATACCATAACTCTCTGGCCACTACGGTTCGATGGCCAATATATAAAGCCAGACATGTGCCTTCCATATCATAGCTGATGTATTCAACATAAATATATAATATTTTTAATAGCAAAAGTAAATTTTTCTAGAGCAATTGCTTTGCCCATCAAAATAGAGCTATTTCAAGTCCCTAGATGTCTTGTAGCTATGTTTGTGTTTTAAATAGTATGAGTGTTCAATGAAGGATTATAGCATGCCATTATCACCCTTTTCCCTGTCAGTCATGTCAAAATACAATATCTAAAATTATTTATTGCGGTTAATATAAATGACAGCTTTTTCTTTCTGAAACTATAAGCAATTTTTTAATGTTTTGTTATCAACACTTTTTCTAGCCTTTTAAACTAGTTTGAGTTTTGAGGTGTTTCTAAGGCTTCATTTAGACCTGAGGTTGGGAGCTAGAAAAAATGCGCAGTTGAGCCACTTTTTACCGCCTGCTAACCCCCCCTCCTTAAGCGGCAATAGGCAACAGACTGAGATGCAAAGTTTACCCGACATGCCTCCCTCCATTCAAGTAAATGGGGAAGCCCTACAAATGTCCCACAACAGTGTCTATTTCACGCGGTTGCGGCATATATGTTGGCACAAATGGGGTTAAAACAATAGATGAGGAGGCATCAGATCACTTTCTCACAACCTGTCCATAGCCTCTGAAGAGCAATCTAAATGCAGATCAGGCTTTAGAGGAAAAGAAGATTCAGATGTACGTCTAAATCTACCCTATGTCAGGTAGAAGATAACATACTACTGGTTTGTGGTTTTGTCAGGTTCCTTCTTCTCAACTGGACATGCATAACACAGCTCTTGCAGGAGCTTCTGAAAGACAAAGCAGTGATTTTTGACACCAACATCTTGGCTTTTATTTTGGCAAAGAGGGAGCTCCCAGTGTTGATTTTTGCACAAAATTGCTTCATATTTTTACCAGAGAAGAATATAAGTACAGATTAGAAACATTTAAGGCTATTGGTAGTGGGAAGAAGAATGCCAGCCCTGTAAACTAAGCCCATCTTTAACTATCTTTGTACTGGCCATGGCTTGAAATGCAGCTACTTAACTGCTTCCCGACTGCTGTAGGTGTTCAGCTTTCAGAGTGGTTCAAATATTTGTTCCTCCTGCTGAATCCTATGTATAGTGGCAGGTAAAATCTTTATAAATACAAAATAAAAAATAAAAAAATGAAGGGGAAAAGGCTCAACAATTTCTGTCTATTCAACATCGTCATAAATGGCAAAGTAGTTCTCCGCATTGGTTGCTATCACCTTAATCTGCAAGCTGCTATGAATTAAAATCATCTCATTAACAATCAGGAGGTGAACTGTAAAAGAATTAGCTAGGGATTGCTAATGTGGCATATCTGGGAAATTTGCATGTTGTATTTATGCGATACATCTTTTTCTCTTGTTAGTAAAATCCATCTGTTTAAGTGGCCTTTAATTCTTCTTTCAGTGCAAAATCATTTACATTTTGATTACAGTGTGGCAAAGCACCTAAGATTTTTGATTCTTCTACACTGTCAAAACCTTAATAAAAGCTGTATACCTGTCAGGTGCTCATTTTTTTAAAATAAGACAATATTTATAGTACTTTATAGAATTATATGTATGGTTCCATCCCTTTGGGCTTAAGAAATAACTCCCTTGTTTTGATGTATATGTAATGTGAGTAGTGACATTTAAATATCTTCAGTTTTCAGAGGTAGATACTATGCTTTGCATTCAGGGGCGGACTGACCATTTGGAAACTTGGGCGCTGCCCGAGGGCCCAGGGTCAGTAGGGGGCCCCATGAGATGCCCCTGGTACCTTTTTCATAGGCTTTTTTGAGTTTGGGCAAGGACACAGGGACCCCATGATCCCTTATTGCCCGGGGGCCCCATGAGTTGTCAGTCCGCCCCTGTTTACATTAGTTTGTGCATGTGTTTTTGTTTGCTTTTTGCTTGTTCATCATAACCTGACTGGTTCTAATGCCTCAAAGGCTTAATGTGAACACTAGCTTAGACTAGGAAGATGGTTGTACAGAGGAGTTATGTGCTTTTAATTAAAACATTTTCAAGGCAGTTTCCGTCAGGTTTTTACATAAAGTCATTTGTTTTTTAACAGTTTCTTTTGAAGCCCATCAAGGTTAATAAAATATAGGTATACATTATCACCAGAGTGAAATCCATATAGACTAAACAGCCAAATGCAAATTACATAGGGACTGCAGTAATATGTGTTTACCAAAAAACAATAGCTAAGCAGAAAACAGGAGCTCACATTGCTCAATTGATATTCATGTATTTGTCATTTCTCAGGTGTCCTGCCAGGGCTCTCGACTACTCCTCTTCTCAGTGTCCTACCCTAGGAGACCACTTCCTATCTTGGCACACCTTTGGGCTCACTCCCAAGCAGCGCTGCCTGCGTCTATAGGCACAGGCAGCAAGGCTTGGCCCTGCCCCCAGCTCCCTCATCACGTAATTTGACTGGCAGTAGTGGGAGGTAGTGGCTCCTGCTGCTCTCGGCAAAGCCTGTGAGAGTGGAGGAGAAGAGTGAGCCGCTCCAGATGGGCACAGTGCTGCATCAAGATTGGGGGGTAAGGGGGTGATACCGATACTGCAACTTTTTTTTACCTTAATGCAGGGAATGCATTAAGGTAAAAAATATTTAGACTTTACAACTACTTTAACTTGGGCCGACCTGACCATATATCAGAGATTCCACAATGATAGTACGTGTCATTTTCCTTAGTAAATTTAAAATGTTTGAAAATCTGCACACAAAATTGATTGACAACACAAGGTAGTAAGCTGAATCTGGCTTATTAGATCCTTAAAAATGATGGATATTTATGATGATGAGAAGAGTAATGGAAGAGAATAGAATCTAGAAATTGTATAGTCTTATAATCACCAATCATGTTAGCTGGATATTAAAAACAATGAAAAGTGGATTATTCTAAGCGCAGCAGCCGGCAGTTCTTGCCTTTCATTTTGTTTGTAGAATGTAATGGGATGGCGGCACAGAGATATACATCTAGTAAGTCTGCAGAGAATCTGGCTTGTAAATCCTTGAACAGAATAGGTAGCAACCCAATATCTCTTTCAAAGACTTTGATTCATTTTGTCTGGGTGCGTGAGATGAAGCTTAATGCTTTTTTATTGAGTTGTTTGAAGGAAATGAGAAATATGTTCAAACTCAGCGGCTGCTGCTGACAAAAGTCTTCATTTGCATTCCTGTGCAAGAAGATTAGTGCAAAGTATTAGTGACTGTCAGCTAATTCACCCATAGCTTAACAATAACTGTCCTAGACTTCAAAATGTGAAGGAAATGATAAAGAGCTCTCATTTCTACATGGAAGATCGGTGTACTCAAAACCCAAATTACAGTACAAACACAATCAAGGCGGTAGAAGAGAAAATGTCTTTATATTTTTCCATTAAGATAATCAGCGTTGTGCTGCATTTCCACCCTAATTATATGTGTAGGCTTCATTGCTGGATTTGTGTTGTTAGTACTTCTTCTCAGTAATTAGTATCACGTATAATTTGTGTGTGGAGCCTATTGTTTTTTTTATGTAAATCATGTTTTATCGGAAAACTGTTTTTTATCTACAGGCATTTTTTAGGTCTTTCACCTTTTGACATTCTTGCATCCTGCCTGAATATTTCAGTATTTTAGAGACAACGGTTGAATGATCAGGCCACCAAATTGTTAATATTTGCTCTAAAAAAAAAAGGGCAAAATTGTAAAACTACAGTCAAGATTTTTTGCCTTTCAATTTATAGAGAAAAAAAAAT